AAACAAAAGTTTTAGATTTCCAGCAAAAGTTTAATTTGAGTGCATACTATATATATTGTTTTATGGAAATAAGACTTGCGATGAGTCTATTTCCAATATTTTGATTAGAAAAATGTTTGGAAGTTTATGAAATGATATGATTACATGTTTACATAAATCTCAACATAGTTTTGATTCTGTTACTACATGTACATGCATTGTTTATATTTTATGTTATTTGATATGATTTATGTGATTATGTGAAAATGTGATATAAGCTATGTGTTATTGAACTACGTGATTATATGAAAATGTTATATAAGTTATGTGACATGATCTATATGATTATTTGTCTACGTGATATAAGCTATGTGAAATGGAATAAATGCTAAAGCCCAAAGTATGTTATATGAGATCTAAAGGTATAATTGGCATGCCAAGAATTAAGGGTTCTACGCTGTCTTTCAGGACAATTCTATGCGGTCTTTCGAGACAATTCTACGTGGTCCTTCGAGACATTTCTACGTGGCACTTCGGTGCATATTCTAAGCGGCACTTCTGTGCAATTTATACGAGCTGTGGTGACAGTATTAGTGCACAACCTCAATGCACTCACATACATTAAGTTCTCAATGATGTACCATGGGTTAATAAAAGAAATGGTAAAGTGAACAGTGCATGATGATATATATGTATATATACATGTATGTTTTTGTTCTATGATGTGTTCTATGGTTTATTTATGTGATTTTATGAAATGCTTAGAATATGATTAAGTGTTTTAATGTTTTATTATGCACTTCATATGCCTCACTAAGGCAACGACTTAGCGTGTGAGTGTTTCACACGTAGGTACAAAGACGCAGGAAGAACAAAGCTAGGATCAGTCAATACAACATATTTCTACAAGAAGATCAAATCAGAAACAATTTACACAGTATGTTATTTTGTTGTATTAAATGTGTTGCCATGTAATTAGATGTTTAAATCGTATATGCTCTGATCCGATTTTGTAAAAATACTTTATTGTATTTATGTAAATTATTAAGTTTTGTTTTCAATTTGAGTTTGAATTTCGTTAATTATTTTTACTTAAGGGTTCCACCAGTTTAATATAAACAAGTGTTTTAGATTTCTAACAAAATTTTAAAAGTAAATACTTTGAAAAGTCAATGTGACACCTCGGATTCGTATCCGGGTCGGATACGAGTTATGGGTGTTACAATATTAGTAGCCTTCGAATACTTGAATCTCACCATCTCGTCAAGCATCAATGTGATACAAAATCATTATACATCCCTCTGCCTCGCCAGGACTGAAATCTAGTATCACAACACCCTTCCGTCTCGTTAAGACTGAAGTCTTAAATTACATGTACACAAACACCTATAAAGTTAGGACATTCACCATTTTTAGTGTTGAAGTTAAACACGTAACAAAGCTTGTTGCACAATATCTTGGTCACATGAAAATGCATTAGATGTTCTTCAAATTTTTTTTACCTTTGCTTACTCAGTTACTCATTGTTTAAAAAAAATGGCTAAAAGTTGTGAATATAAGAAGGGATGGATCAAGGGGGACAGGTGAGTACAGTCATCCCCTGAAAATTAAAAATTATCATATATTTTAGTGAGATATACGCATACATTTATTTAATAATAAAAGTGAAAACAAAATTGAAAGAAAATGTAATATGCTATTATTATTTTTGCATAACAAAAGTGAAAGTACAGTCGACTGCATAGGGAAAATGGCAGAATACATCACGTAGAAACTTGGAGAAGCATAACCTGGTCCTGGGATTCATGTGCAGGTTCCACATTGAATCTCTTAGACAATGAAGTATTGGCTGCATCAACTGGAAGACTGATTTTCACTTCATATTCTCCATGAAAAAGAGAAGCCTCAAAGAAACCATTGGCATCGGTCTGGCCTTGTAAAGTGGCCTTGATTCCCCATTCTTTCAACAGCTTGTCCACAACTTCCCCAGTTGCCAAGTTCTTGAAATTATTATCTGTCAGACACATATGGTAACATCCTTCTGGTTTCCAAGCTGACCATATTATCATCCCACTAACACCAGGGTGCTCATGCCCTTCCCTAAAAACTTGCTCCAAAAACGTTGCCTGGTAATGTATAACATATAAGCTTAAGTATATATATATATGTTTTGCCTTAGTGGTAAAAGTGAGTGATGTTCTCCTTAGAGATTCAAGATTTGAGCAATTATGTATGTAGGGTGTGTGTGTTTTGTCAATGATTAAGAAAGATTATGTATGTAGGGTGTGTGTGTTTTGTCAATGATTAAGAAAGATTCTGAACAAATATTACTTTGTAAAATTTAAGTATAGTGGAATGTTGAACTTGAAATATTACCTGATTGGGGTTGCTCTTCACAACTATTTCCGTCAGCCAAATGGGCAACTTCTTGGAAGCTAGAGTATCAAGAGAAGATCTTACGTAAGGAAGGTTCGGGACGTCGAAATGGCACTCTAGGCCAATAGCCATTTGGTTAGCCTTGGGACCCAATACACATTTAATTTCTTTCAGTTTTGCAAGGTATTTATCTGGTGTTGATGCAGTATCTCCCTTCTCCTCGAGGGTATTGTATTCATTCATAAACAAAGGTACAAAAGAATCGATATCGGACGCCATTTTGTAGAACGTGGAAGAAGCACTTGGCCCAAGCTTACTCTCTAAGAAATTAAAGTGCAGATTCTCATTGACAACGTCCCAACTCGGTTGTACTTGGTCATGATCGAGTTAACCCTTTTGTTTGCCGCTGTTGAAAGGTCGTTTGGACCGAGAGAGGGGACCCAACTCGGTTGAAAACGAGGATCGTCCCACAGAACGTTGTGTCCTCGAACCGCAATGTTGTGCTGTTTCATTAATGCCATCAAGGAATCCGAGATTGAATAGTCTTCTTTGCCTTGGGTTGGTTCGTTGCTGTACCATTTCATTTCGTCCTCGAAGGTTGTGTGGGTAAACCTCGAAGTGAACCGTTTTGGTAGCATTCGTTGTTGAGGATGTTCTTGTTTGTAGCACAGCCCACTGGTTTCCCTGAAACCTTTTGCTTTATGGAAATCTTGGAGTTGGCCGCCGGTTTCCCTTGTGCATCCACATGAATTCTTACCCTTCTCTTTGTCTGCAATATATATATATATATACATATATATCAAATATATATAAATCTAATATATATTGTAAGTAGATTGACTGACCTTTTCAATGTGTTCAACATGATGAGAGTTCCACTCTTCATGCGTAAATGGCTGCAAGGAGACGCTATCGACCCAGATTTTAACAGAGGTGTTATGGCTCGAAGAAATCACATGGTGAATTTAAGAAATCTGGAAATACTGAAAAAGACATTTTTATGTTTTTGACACGTTTTCAGTCTTTTTTTTATCATTAGTTTGGTCGTTCTTTTTGATTAATTTTTAGGGTTGAATTTGACATTGCATTAATTTATTATCATGTTGATCTTTTGTTATCTTATTGATCTTCTCCGCTTTGGATCATCAAATTGAATTTGGATATGTATTTTTCATTTGGAGATAGTTGTCTCACAACGTTCGACTCTAATTTGCGATTGTCGGTGGTTTTCAATAGTTTCATCCCCTGTTGTAATTCGTTTGTCGATGCAGTCAGATTTGTTTGTATCGATCTTTTGTTTGAATTTTTTGGATGAGGTTTTAACAATTTCTTTGTAGGGGTCCGTATATGATCTCGAGTGACTAGTTTATTATGTAATTGTTATAGTAAAATATCCTAATTATTTGTTTAGCTTTCACTTATTGTTGCAAATCTTTATTGTAATTTTGGATCTTTCATCTTTTTTAATAAACTAGTGACTTTTATTTGCATAAAAAAATTATAGATTGTTATATTTTGATCATTGAACTGTTGGTTCTTATTAGTTTGATGATCAACACGCTAGGTAAGAAAAATTAATTTTTTATTTTATCCTTCAACTGTAGATAAAATATTAATTTGACATTGAATTTCAAATGAAATATTATTTTGATCTCTAAACTTTAAATAAAATATCAATTTGATCTCAAAAGTCAACCAAAGTCTCTCTTTACCTCCACCACTCACCACTGTCACCGCCAGTCACTATCGGTTATCACCGCCGACTATTGAATCTCAAAATTTTCAATTCATCAAACGATGTCCAATTCACCGAAAAATGTGACTAAAAAATGCGTGAGTGACAACAACAACAGTGATGAATGATGGCATATGACATGATATTTTGGTTGAATTAAGGGGTCAAATTACTATTTTATCTAAAATCTAGAATCAAAGTGATACTTCATCTTAAATTTAAGGATTAAATTAAACTTGATCTCTTTTATTGACGTGTTACATCATCAAACTAACAATAATTAACGATTTAATGATAAATATAATAATCAAAATATAAGTAACTAAAATTAAATAAATTAATAACATAAATTATTGAAATATATTTTTTTCCAAGTCGATAATAAAATAAATAAATAAAACTAGTTTTCCATAAAAAAATTAAGTTAAATGTAATTATAAAGTAGTATATATTCTATGTACGCTAAATCATTGACAATGAACACTTAATTACTCTTGCAATCATTGATGCTCAAATTCATTATTTTTAAGAACAACAACAGTTTTTTTAATAATTGAAGTAAGTTAATTCGTTCAGTTTTCGTAAATTTAATAAACTAATCAGAATTATGATATCTAACAAGCGTTCCAGTCATGGCTCTCCCTGACGACACCAACTAGTGTTCCAGAAATCTTCAAGTGATTCCTATGTACGTGAGAGTGTAGATTTAGATTTTCTTTTTTTAAAAAAAAAAACTAGCGTTCCAGGGCTAGTTTCCGGAGGTGGAAGACCCATCGGTTTTGAGTTTGTGCCAACCCAAATGAGGATAGGTCCAGTTAACACCCACTATGGATAGGAATCCACGTTTCACAATAGGTAGCCATCCAATCAAGCATGAACCACCAGATTTCATTTGAAACCAAGTGTCTGAATCCAACTCAACCCCTCCTTCCTACATCTCTGCACTTATGGAACTATCACACGTGGTTGCACTTCCCAAATTCTTCATTTCAAATCCCAGAATTTCGTGTACAACCCAAAGCAGTTCATCATCTCAGTTTTCAGTTTCACCACTCCATCCATCCTCTAACCGAACTACCACCGCAAGCAATGACATCAAAGAAGCCGCTATTAATACACCATCCATGTCCGATATATTGGCATCCTCTAAAGCCCAGAACCTTGACCTTCAGCTCCAAACTATAGGACCCTTTTTTAGGATCACTGCTAAAAGCCTAGAGACCAACGGGGAACTTGGAAGAGCCGAGGGGCTCATAAGGGTCTGGTTTGCAGGTAAAATTCTGCACCTTGATTCAATTAGGCTCAAAAGGGAGACCCTTGGCATGGAAATATCGATTTTTGGTATCGTTTTGTTTATTGGGGCTGTAGCTATTCGATACGGCTATGACTGCGGTTGCAAGAATGCTGAGTTGCTTGCCATTAATGACTCGGATCTTTATCATTCCAAGGTTCTTTCTTCACACGAAAACGAAAAATCTTCTTCTCTTCGTGTTTTAGTAGTGGATAGTTATGGATTTTGATGATCTGTTGAACTTTCAGCTTGTTAGGTTCTACAAAAGGATTGGGTTCAAGGCTGTGCATGAAGTGACTGGTTCAACAATTGGGGATATGCCCCATATGCTAATCTGGGGAGGAATCGGAACTCGAATGGATGACAGTATAGATGAGCTTCTAGTCAAATGGTGCTGCAGTTTCAAGTCCCAATCTGATGTTTCGAATGACTGAAATTTTGTTAAATGAAGCCCAAGTGCATAAGCATATCAGAATTTGCTAGATTTCGGCAGGGCCTGCATCCCCCATTGTTGTGTGTTTTACCTTTACTGTTAGATCATTTAGAACGTGGGATATGCTCCAGCTGCAAGGGAAGTTTTTGGGTTTTGAAAACCTCCTTTCTGCTATCAAATTTACATATCAAGAATCAAGGGGAAGAGTGTAGTTACACAACCCTTTTTGATTTTCTTTTCGATCGAATAGTTACACTATTTTCTTCTGCAAAATTATGATAATAATAAGTTGGATTCCTTCATGTTCATTGCAATTTTTTTTTATAATTTAGAGTAATTATAAGATAATATTTAAAATCTTTTTTAATCATTAATAATGCACGGACTTAAAATCTCTAAAAATAATAATACTCTCTTTTAATCACTGAAATTAATTGATGTGTTCTGATTACAATATCAAGTGTAATAAGTGAGGATAGAGATAGAATATGAACTCATAAAAATAAAATATAATTAATCAGAGAAATAAAAAAAATAAAATCAAAATAAACTAAAACTAAGCGTATAGCTTCGTCGAAGCATTGCAATTTGGGCTTAGAAACAGAAATGAGTAACGGTCAATTGCAATGTTTGAAGTTGCTGAAATTACTGTAATTAGGGTAAATTATTAAATTGATCACTTTCTTTTCACATTTATATATTTTTACTCATCAAATTCAAAAAAATTATATTTTAATCATTTACGTTATCAATTTATTAAAACTTGATCATCTGCACTTTTACTTCATCGTTAAATTTATCATTTCATATTCCATATCAAGTGTAATACATTTTGATTCAAAGAATAAATTAGTCTCAACACCATGGAAGCGAGCCCTCTAATTGATTCTTTTAAAGATGAATAGCCATCTTAAATTTCCTTTCTTTAAACTCATAAAATGGTCATACAATAAAAGAATATAAAAATTCATAAAGCAAACAAAATAAACTTTCAACCATTAACTTGATAATCGTTTGAGATTATGATATCAGATTTTATTATATCTCGGTCAGCAGGTTAATGTCCAGTTCAGACTATCGTTAATTTTTTAACGAAAAAAGACTAGTTTAAAATATAATGATTAGTATGATGACCTTTTTGTAACTTTTAGTAATCGAGGGACTCAACAGTAACTTTCTATTGTTAGGGATCATTTTGTATCTTTTAATAGTGGAGAGACTTAAAAATAATATCTTATAGTTAGGGACCATTTTTGTACTTTACCCTTATTATTATTATATAGTAACGGTGAATATGGAAGGATGAAATTGAAGTTGTAGGATTAAAACAAAGTGGGGTTGCAGCAGAACATAACCCTATCCATCCTCTTCTACTCGAAGCCAAGCCAAGCAAGCCCTAGAAAAATTCTCTCTTCCAAAGTTGTAAAGCAGTGCAATGTCTCGTCGAGATTCGGACTCTAGACGACACCGTCCTGTGCTCGACCGTGAACCCGGGTACTCCCTTTCGTTCCCCAAATGTAGCCATGAATTGTATAACATTATCTGAATGTATTTCGATTGGGTTTTCTGTATCGTTTAATTTCGTCCAAAGATTTACTGTTACAATTGTAAAGAAAAAGTGATTCATTTTTTGTTTATGTTGTTTAGTCCTAAGAGGTCTAGGAGAGATGGGAAGCCTCAGACCGAAAGAGTTGTGTCCAACACTGATGTCGGAGACAGACCCGACCGCGATGAGAAACAGCACCGTCGGTTGCAAGATGCAGTGCCCCTTGAAGCGGCGCCGACGGCTCCTGATTCTTCGAAGATTGGAAGTGCAATTGTGAGCGAGGAATCTGATCGGAAAAACAATAGGCACCACGAAGGAACTAAACATTCTTCTGATCCAACTGACTTGCCCCGCTCGGGATCCTATTTTCAGGTTTTTTTATAATCTATTATCATGTCATTTAATCTTCATCAATTCCTTTTATTGCTTGGAAAAAACAATTGTTTTCTGTAGGAAGATTGTGAACAAGCTGAAGATATGTCATCTGTATGCAGTTTCGGGTTTAATTCTCTTAATGGAATGTTAATGGGGCATTAGAAAAGAAAATTACTTTCTTCCATTGTATGTGGCTTTGATTCATATTTAGGGTCTGATTTAAGGCTATCCTTGCAGATTTATTGAAGTTATTGGGATTTGGTTTTCATAGGATTGTGAGCCCATAGAATATTTCTTGTATGAAGCATGAATCCGTCCTGGAACTGAATAATGATTACTAGCTCAAATAAACAACCTGTTCTTTCTCTAGTTTAGTAGTTTGTTTATTGGAGTGCATAGACCTTTTCTTCTGGTTGTGTAGCAGAATTCTTGTTCAGCCCCACTTTGTATGGTCAGTGTATATAACAATCTTAGGCTTGCCTGTGCATGTCTTTTAACAGCATGATGAGCGTCGTAGTGCCGCGCAAGCTGGTCAAAGTTATGGTCGGAGAGCGGCTTCTGGTTAGTTTTTTTTTTTACTTGGGCTTTGTATCCTACCCCCTTATACTTCACTTATGAGATCATGTTGCCTTGTCATGTCAGCCTTCACATTCAGGTTATAGATTAACTTGTCAAAAGAGTTCTGGGATTATATGTGTTCACTGGCAAAGTGGTTTCTGGGGAAGCTTTAACAGCATTCTTTTCTTATCAAGAAAAGAAAAAGTAGGGTTCTCTTGAAAATTATTAATCAATGATTACATTATCTTTCCAGAGCGTACCGATCGTGGATGGAGGGGGGATGCGAAGGATCATCATAATGAAAGGGAAACTAAAACATTTGAAACGAGGCAAAGAGACAAGAAACCACAAGCCAAACGGGATGGCAAAGATGATTGGCGCCATGACAGATTCTTTGACCTGGAGGCTAATCCTCTGCCACAGCCACCACCTACCAAGAAACGACCTGCATTTAGCGAGAAGATCGCAGCAGCAACTCAATGGACTGACCATGCAGAGCAGGAATCAGAAAAGTTGACCCATTCTCACCACCATGCTTTAGGAAGTGGAAGAAGAGTGGAAAGGGACCAAAACCACCGACATTTGGACAGACTCACTGCTAGACATCAGGTTGTGAGCAGAAGAGAAGTACCAAGAGGTGGATTTGTATCACATGAAAGGCATGGAGGTGGTGGTGGTAGCATTTTCAATGGAAGAGATAGATTCAGTGGAAGGCAGGGGTATCGCTCAAGTGGCCCTCGTGTTGAGAAGTGGAAGCATGATTTGTTTGATGAGGCCAACAAGAGTCCTCCCAGACAGAACGAAGAAGATCAGATCGCGAAGGTGGAATCACTCTTGGAATCTTAGAGCTCAACTTATGATATTAAGTGGCTCTTTGATTTAATTATCAAATGGCTAGTAGTGAAACCTTTTTTAGTGCCCCATTTTTTTCCCCTTTCTTTTCAGTTATGCTGTATTTTAGGCACAAAGTTTGTCTCTGTGTTAATGATTGCAACTCTATTTTGGCAGTGGAATGATAGAATTCGAACAATTTGGCCTTCTTTGGAGGCTTTTAAATGAAGTTCTTTAGATGATTCACTGTTCATCACGGTTGTAGGCGGTTGGTTCATACATAGATATTAATCATGTCCATCTTGTTATATAGATAATCAATTTGAACTTTGTTAAAAGCCATTGTGAATATATCACCTAATAGTTCTCCAGTTTCCACATCGGAACGATTAAATCGTGTTGGATTTTTTTCACGAATGAAAAGATAATCTCAAAATATTCCGGTTGTTGATGAAAGATTGGAATAAAAGAGATATGAAGTGCAACTTGATCCATGTTCTGAGACTTTAGTCGATATAACTTCGCATACAATAACTCCATATTTGATTATGAGACTGCATTATGTTTCTAACTCTTTCATGAAATAAAATTCCCCCAGCAAAAATGCAATATCCTGTAGTAGACTTCTTATCTTTCTTGCACAATGCCTGAATCTGATAAATATTCGATCCTAGTATGACAATGATTATTGTATAAGATTGCTCATCCATGATCATTTTTTAAATAGTGTACAACTTGTTCTATCAATTTCTAAAAATTAATAGTTGATGATGACACATGTTGACACAGCACACTCATCGATTAAGCAATATCAGAACGTATCACGGTAAAAATATTTGAAATCAAATTTTACGATAATTAGATTAGGACCTTAAATATCAGAATGTACAAACTTAAAAGGAAAAAGCAACTCATTGACTCGAGGATCAGAAATAAGGTTATAATGTACGAAACATGATGACAGATTTTCTTTAATCAACAAATCAGCAGAACCAAACATATCTTTGCTTGAAGTTTAAACAACACAATCATCTTGGTCCAACATCGGAAACATGAACAGTACTATTCCCCCATTGACGTCTGCTGATGAGAATTTGAGCCACCCACCATGGAGGAAGAGGAACCGCCTTTGTATCCAAGACCTGACCTCTGCTGAAAGAGCTCCACCGTTGCAGGCGGCTGGAACTCGGACCTTGTTCGGCGGTGAGAGCAGCCTTCCACCGACTCCTGCTGTCCCATTAACAAATGGTAGCTACGGCTAGATCCCAGCGACGCCGACCTGTAATGGTGGCGGGGCTTTTGCTTCCTCATGGCATGGATGAGATAAGGAATTAAGCCTTCCATCACTGCTTGTTGAAGCCTGAACTGAAGAATATGTATATGAATGGGCGAAGGTAGGGTTGGAAGAAGATATAATTATGGGGAAGCTGCTTTGTTGACAATTTGAAAAAAGTAAATCATATTCGAACTTGTTAATGGAATTGTCAAATCCTAGAGCTGGGAGGTGGGGGACAGCTGAGCACATTTTTGTTTTCTCCGACTGTAGGTAGGGATGTTTATTTTTCGGTTGATTGATTATATGTTAGATAGATTAACAATTAAGAAAATTTTATATTAAATCAATTAATTGTTGAGAAAATTTAACATTCAATTTACCGAATATATATATATATATATATATTAAACTCAAATTTATTAAAAAAAATATCTAATTATTTTTAACCATACTATATTCATTAAACTTTTAAGATCTAATTAAGATTTATTCCAGTAAAAAAAATATCTGTATTCAATTCAAACTAATATAACTAAAAATGTTTTTAAAAAAATCGTTTAACACATCAATTTACTGAATTAATCAAATTTTGTTTAGTTGAATTAATAATTTTTAAGAAAACATTTGTTCAAATAAAAATTAAAATATATTTAATTTTAATATATTTAGTTGAATCGATGATAACCGTTTAAAAATCCCTAGATGTGGGTGCATACCGCACTGGAATATTATTAACCATTTGCAGGCAACTTTCTTTGACTGATATCACTACGCCATTCCAATATGTGTAAATTACAATCATTACTCATCGTAATTTTATTATATAATTATAAAACGTTGGTTAAACTACTGAATTTATTATTTTCTTTTTACATTTGTATATTTTTATTTATTAAATTAATATATATATATATATATATTAATTATTTACTTTATTTTATTATTAAGGTTTAGTTATTGGATCATTGGATATTAATTGAATAAGACTAGTCATATGTTATAATCTTTTTTTTAAACTTGAAAAAAATTCCAACTCGTTTATTTGTTAGGAGAAATTTTTATTTTTATTACATATTAATTTCAAATACATTTACTAATACTTAAAAAATTAATTTTGTTATTGATCTTTTCATATTTTATTTCAAAAATCTTTATCTTTTCTTATATTCATGAATAATTCTTTTGTATTACCAAGAGGATATTAACAATACAAATGATGCAATCGTGTGTGTTTTTCTGATAAAATATTACTTTATCTGATTTTATATTTTATTACTACTTTTATTATTAAATATTAAAATTATTTCTATGGTTACGAGAATGATATTTTGTAATCGTTACTTAGATTTTTACTCATTTTCCCATGTGATATTTTATTTTATTTTATACACAACTAAAACATACTGAATAGATCTCATCAAGTGACCTCAATAGTAAAAAAGAATATTATATTTTTATAAATTTTTCATATACAAAATGTACGTGAGTTGTGAAAAGATTAAGAAAATTATGAGCAAATACTTTCTTACCTCACTATTGGAGAAGAAAAATTAAAATTAAATCTTTTTTTTGTCGAGGACAGTATTAATGGGGTGTGGATTAAATCTTCTATAGCCGTTGGATTCTGTTTCTTTGATGCTTATGACCGTAGATTGTTAACGTCATATCATCTTCAACCAATTTGGCATAATACATGAAACTTCTTAAAAGCATTTGATCCTCCAATCTTCAAAAACTGTAGGGAAACATGACCATAATAAATCGTGAACAAAACCCACGACAGCGTTCGCCGGCACACATCCGAACACGGAGCTCACCCTGCAAATTTAGGACATGCATATGATTTACCAAGCTAAAAGTTTCAGCTCCATTAAATCTTCCTTTTGTCGGACTATTTACAATAAAACGCCGCAAAAGATTTCAGCAGATAGCTATATGTACTCAGTCGATCGGTCAATATAGGCCATGAAATACATGTTAATTGGTTATCAGATGAACTTTAAACACATTTACATATACATTGCTTTCTTTTACCTAGAATTAGACGAAAAGAAAAAACAGTGAAAGAGTTCCTAGTATACAGATAACAGTTGAGAGGTTAAGATAACTTCACCTGATCTTTCAGATGCAAATCATAGATAGAAGACAAGAAGTGGTTACAGAACTGTTAAAACAAGAAGCCAGGCCTAAATATATTCAATCCACTCTTGTTCTGTTCGGTGCCGCCTCCACCCCAATCGGAAAAACACGAGCTTGGGGTACTGCTAATGTTTATGGTGGGTAGTCAAGTAGGATCAGTTCTACACGTGTCGTCAGGCTGCCAGGAGCCGATACACAATTTAGCTGTATTATGTGTGTCCTCAAGCTACAGTCCTTAGCCTATTGAAAGAGATGTTTAAGAACCCTCCTTAAACAATGAGCCATTGCAGCACATGAAGCAGAGAATAGCTTGGAACATAAAACAAAAGGCTATGTTTACCTGAATGGCTGCTAACGCGGACAAAAAATCTTTACATTGTTCAAGCAAAACCCTTTCCTTTGCAGTCACAGTCACAAGTTCATCCGCTAGGGAATTCAATTCCTCCACCTACAAAGGGCAAATAATATTTAGACAATTGGGTATATTTGGTGCAAGTTCAGATAAAATAGAAAAGGTAGGCTTAACCAAACTATGAGATATTTCTTTCTTCCCTTTTTGATGTGAAGGCTTCCATCGAGGTGTGACACTGCTATTAAAAACTTTAAAAAAATAACTTTTGCAGCTGCAAAACTAGATGCCCGGCATTGAGCATTCATTGTTACAGTATGGCACCTTAATTCAGGGATGAGGGGCAAGAAGGCTGGAAAAGTCCATAGTGTCTGTTTTCAATGGAAAATTAATAACTACATCAGCAATAACAGTTTGTGCCGACAAAAATTGCCCAATTGAGTTTTTACATAGTAAGAGTCAGGTACTCTCTTTTTCTATAAGAGAAAGGCCACTCAATTGGAGCACCACACCCTGTTTTTAAGACCCATAAACAGATGGTAATACGTGTTTTCATTGCCTAACTAGCCTCAAGACTTATTTGAGGTTGAGTGCTTTAATCCCTCTTTTTGGGGCATGCTCTTATCTACCTACAATTTGCTTTACCCTAGGCACCAAAGAAAATGAATTTTGTGGTGCTTGGTAGGAGAGAAAATTGAACGGAAAGTGAACAGAAAAGATGATCAATTTCTATTCTTATCCGCAAAGAGCAAACACAAATTATTCCAAGTTAAAAAGGATACAATGGTAGAATAATATCGATACTGATCTGTAGGCTAAATCTAAAGAATTAGATGACTGATAGATTGTAATTAATATAGGATATTTTATTACCTATTATAGTATCTCTACACTTGTATATATACTCATACGGTTGATGAATAAAATACATCACAAAGTATTCTCCCTTCTGTCATTCTACATGGTATCATGCTCTAAAATATTTTTTTCCATATTATTCTTTCTTTCATCAGTTAGAAATTGATGGGTTGTTGGTGAGGAGGCTACCACCATATTCTAAGGGGCAGGATTTGGAGGTACTTCTATAGACACTGCCAAATCAAGGAGTTAAGCCATGTGTCGATTGGTCAGAACCCAGCGGCCAGTCATCGGAATCCATGTGTGTGAGTCACAAGTATCGCCAGAAGTTCTCGCTGATTCTACTTGTGTCAGAGCTTGAGGGTGCATTTCTCGCTAGAATTTCGTCTGATCTGCCTCTGTTTCCCGCTGCTGTGTGCATACATGTTCATGGCTCCACATCGATATTGGTGTGGGACTTGGCTACGATAGGTTGGTTCTCTTATGTGTAGTCTGTTCTCTAGTTTAATTTCATATTTATGTCTGACAGAAAGATTGGAGTTGTTTCTGATATGATTATGGTGGTCTCAAAAATCACATAACATAAATTAAAAGTTAATAATATGTTTGATTGGAACCATATTATTGAGGTGTATCTACTCAATATTTCTATGGACGGTCATTTGACTGATGATCCGCCTACAGATGATTCTAGATTGTCCTAGACAAAAGAAGATGCTCGCTTGCATATACAAATATTTCTTCGAAGTTGAAGTTAGCAGGAGTAAAAAAGGAATCTTCCTATCTTAGAGGAAGTATGTGTTTGATTATCGTCGAAGTTAGGAAAACTAGGTGTTAAACCATATACTACTCTAACGGTTCCTAATTTAGAATTCACCAAAGAAGGAGATTGTTTGTAGATCTTAAAAGGTACAGAAGACTTATCTAAAAGTTAAAGTATCCTGTTATGACATGTCCTAATATTGCTTATTCGATGAGTGTGTTGAACTAGTAAATGTAATCACCAATTGTTGACATTGGAAGGCGATAGAAAAAGTTTTGCATTATTTAAAAGTGCTCCTAGACGTGGAATTCTATACGGCAATCATGATCATACTAGGATCAAATGTTTTCCAGATATGGATTAGGCAGAGGTATGGAATAAATGAGATTTACTGAAAGATGTGTTTTGTTGGGAGAAATTTGATTTCACGGAAGAGTACGAAATAAAATGTAGTCTCACAATCAAGTGCGGAAGCTAAATACAAAGCTATGACCAAGTTTGTATGTGAAGTCATATGGGTATATCATATCCTCAATGAATTAGGAATTAAGGTCTTAGTACCTACAAAGATATTGTGTGATAATCAAGTTGTACTGCACATCGCTTCTAATTCAGTTCTTTCATGAACGAACGAAATATATTGAGGTTGATTGTCATTTCATTCGTGAAAAGATCCAACAAGGTTTGATTGCTACACGTTATGTGAAAATTTGAGAACTAGGTGATATATTCACAGAGGCTCTTAATGCGATCCAGATCGACTATCTATGTAACAAGCTGAGTATGATTAATATCTATGCTCCAACTTGGGGGAGTGTTACAGATTTGTAGGCTAAATCTTAAGAATTAGATGATTGTTTATTGTAATTAATATAGAATATTCTATTACCTATTATGTGATCTCTACACATACGGTGGGTGAATAAAATACACAACAATGTATTCTCTCGTCTCTTATTCTACAAATATGATTTTCATTTTTTCCTCTAATTTTTCAACTCTAACAAGCAATCAATGGAAATAATATATATCTTCACATATTTTTTTCTCTTTTCTATCCTCTCTAGCAAATATGCAATGAAAAATATATATTTTTCAAATACTTTTGCTTCCAATTTTCCATTTTTATCGACTCTAACATGCAAAGCCTAAAAATTTTAAACTTCTAAATACACTTTCCAGGTTAAGCAAACATAATCAATTCTTTTTTCTTTTGTTTGATGTAAGAACCAAGGGACTTTGTTATAAAGTTATGATCAAGCCTTTACAAGTTTCAATAGGAAAAATCATAAAACAGTAAGCATCGAAGAAAACTAGCAAATCAAGAACATACTAATAAGCAACAGCAAGAACACAGCTCAAGAACTTTCTTGTATTGGTAGCATTTTATTTATGAAGTTCACAAAAGTAGTAGAAATACAAATAACTGCCACAAGAAAGAATTTAATGATCTTTTTCTTGTAATATGAATACCTCAAAATTAAGTTAATGAATTTCACCTTTGATGATAGTAAGAATATTGAGGATGCCATTGCTTGCATCACATCAACCGCAGAGCTGACAGCATCCTTCAGATTTTGGATATCTGCCTATCATGAGAGAAAACAGAGAAAGGGAAGGGAAACAAGAGCAACATTTTAAACCACACTGATAGTCATGAGCTGAACCGTTAAAAGAATTAATATTGAAAAGTTGAGAAAATAAAAATTGGAAGAAACTTACTATCGCTTTTCCAACAACCGGAAGACGGAGAACACTGGCCTTTAAAGCTTCAGTCGCTCCTAGCAAAGCACTAGAGTGTTCTCTATCAAGGAGGGCCCATGCTTCTAAATAAGCTATCTGCACTCACCAATTATAGTGAATTTTTAGTCACAAGGAAAAGAAAATCAATGCTATAAAAGTCAGCATCTAGCAATTGAGAACAAAAATGGACTAGATCTGTTCTATGAACCACACAGTAAGCGGAGAATCGATGACACCAAACTAAAGAAAACAACTATTTTCCTTCTAGGATTGAAATACAATAGAACAAAATCTTCTCTTCTTGACTTTCTTTGATTTCTTATTTGATTGCTTCCTATCTGTCTTACTCCGACTCCAGAAGTGAACGAAATTCCAACATAATTTAGTAACTGAGCCATTCACTACTACATACAAGAATAATAATCCAATTTTCCTTTTTTTCATCTTTTACATGACTTAATTAGGACTAATATTCAGCGTACTCGTGTCGTGAAATGACTGGTGACTACTTCTAAAGCATGTTTCTAAGGCCAGGAAGCTCCTATAGGCCATTGCTGAAAAATAATAAATTCCTCATTACAACACCAAAGTCCTAATTTTGATAAATTTCATTACAATCAACAGTATTCCTAAAATTGTTGCCTTTTTCACTTTCATGTGTATGGAAGTCAATCAGAAGTCAAAACTGAAGCAGTTCTGTTCTCAGCTATGAAAGCTGAAATGCTTGTGCCTACGGAAAGGTCAACAAGGATTTGATTCAATACTTTACAAAAGTGAACCTTTGATTCTTACTTGTCCCTTCAGGATGGAAGTCAATTTCAATTTTTGCCTCAGCAAAAGCAGCTTGATTCTCCTAAGGGTGACAGAACGCCGCAGTTCTGAGGTTTTTACCCATGCATTCCACAGATATTTCTGGTACACAAGAATGAAAAAATTAGAGATTTACATACCGGACTTATTAGAACTCATCATGTTAACTCAAATCACTGTTATCTATAAACAAATCTTTTCATGTTTATCATATAGCAAAATCCAGTCAGCCAACTTTCTCAACAATAATTCTCAATTACCAGAGAAGTACTTACATATTAAAGATTATTAGAACTCAAGCAATATTTCTAATTTTACCAATATTCTAATTTTTGAGCAGGCTCTTTTAACTGATAGATAGTCGGTATCATTCACTTCTCTCAAGTTGATAACAGAATAAGAGTATCAAGGGGCAGTTGATGACAGACACTGATGAAACTCAAATCTATCATTTAATAATTCCATAGACCATATCTATAATATCCTCCTTTTCCCATCAAATCCACTAAACCTTCCATTGTGCAAATATTAACAGCAGACAAAGTGAAAAGCTTTTTACAATTCATAGTCATGACAAGCACACTACACAAGATTAAGCAAAATTATACTCAAGTGAAAAGCACTAGTACAATTATAGTAGAGGGAAAAAGAGGCTTATGAACATTCATTCAGTATTACGTCTTTCTCAGTGATTTTGCATCATGCTGTGTTGTACTAAGCCAATGCTGCCTAGTGTATTAGCTCTATTTTCAGCTTGTAGCAAATCATTGATTGATATATTTAGCCTCAAGATCATTCCATCTCTAAATCTAATATCTTGTACATATAAAATGGACATGAAAAACACTTGCATAACAACTATGCGGAACTCCAAATGGCAAGGTTAACAAAAGGAAATGCAACTTTTTCAATATGTATATTCGGCAAAAATAGCACATACAAAAATTTTATAATGTCATATTCGACAAGACTATGATCCTCACTACAATCAAGCATAACGTAAGCTGCCATTAGCATTAAAAACCAGCTTTCAGCTTGTTGAAAACTATTAATAAGAACTAAATTTGAGGATTCACCAAATATTACAAACAAAAATCAAGTAGACATGTGCATTGATCATATCGAGAACCATGAGAGGGCAAATTAGCATACCTTTGCACTCAGTTTCTGCACCATGAAAGTAGCATCTTCCCTTGCATTCGCAAATCTCCATTGCGAGTAGCGGTTATAAAGAAGCCTCAACATGTGTGCATCAACAATCCGATCATTTCCCATCTTTCCTCTCCGAATATCAGCAGAAAAGCTAAGATTTGAAGGGGAATTAATGGAATTACCAATAATCTGACTGCCAACCGCATTTCTGACACGAGCAGGACTTAACCCCCTCAATGGAGATGAAGCTGAAGATGTACAAAGCTTACTAGGAGAAGCAGGTCTTGTACCTCCCCTGATAGGAGAAGCCATTGTGCGCGGAGACGACACTGCACCATCACTAGAAAACCTTTTTGACTGACTGAACTTAGCTGAAGCACCAATTCTAGAACCAGGGCTTGTATATAAAGGTAAACTTGGATCCTGTAATCGGCTCAACCAGCTACTAGTTTCCTGCCAAAACTTTGCAGACACAGCAATATTACGGGGTACAATCCTCCCTTTAGAAATCCCACTTCCTCCATAGTCTTGCTTACCAGAATTGGTGCTCCCAGAAGACAAGCTATCAGTATCAGAAGCAATAAAATCATAAGAGACACAAGAAGCCACGTTTATAGAATTGGCATCTGGGTTTTGTTTATTAGGGTCTTTTACGAACTCAGCACTTCCCAAATCCAAACTCAACCTACTAGCCCCTTCAAAAGAAGCTCTCCTACTACTGTCGTCAAGCATAATTGATTGTTGCAATGACTTAGCCAGCATTGCACCAGATCCAGCCATCCTCCTTTCACAACTAGAATCCAAGCTTGTAGACAACGGATTTGAACCCAAAACCGGATTCCCTTGCCGAGTTCTCCCAGGCCAGCGGAGTTGATCTATTGGCTTTGAGTTATACCCATGATCTCTCACTGGAGTGGCTCTACGCCTTTCAGGCGTTACTTTCCTAGTCAAACAAGGACCTACTTGAGCCTTTGTCTTGCTAATCGGAAGTGAAAAGGCTTCACCTTGAAATGAAACCGACAAACTTCTTGTTGAAGTAATCAACATCTTGGAAGCAGCTGACAATTCCGTGGCATTAGCATTGTTTCCATGTAACACTTGACCTCCGGGCCGCCTCTGGTCTACAGATTGAGACCGTTTAGGAACCGAAGACAACATAGTTGAAGTCGGTGTTGAAGTAGAGGTAGCATTTGTTGAACGAGAAATAAGCGGAGAAGGGTATCTCGCAGTCGTTTTGTTCCATGCTGCCTTCGTATTAGTGGAACGAGATATAAGAGGTGAAGCAAATGCCGTCGTTTTGGCTGACATTGTGGTTGCTGCTGAAGAAGAGGATGAAGTGGAAGTGGAAGTGGAAGGAGAAGGAGAAGGAGACATATACCTCGAAGAAACTTGTCTACCTCTGGGTTTTCTCGTAACAGTAGAGGCATTATCTTTTAGAGGTTGCCTTTTTGTTGTTGAGGTTGAGGTTTCTTCTTGATGGGAATTTGGTTCTTCAACAGGGGACCGTGAACGAGTAGGTGGATGAGAAAATGCAGCCACCATCATATGAAACTGCAAAAAAATATACTTTCTCTTCTACATTGCCTTTCGAATAAATTTTGTTGTGCTCGGAGTAATGAGTCTTCAATTTCATGGCTGAGAACCTGGAGAAAACAAGATTTTATGCAATTTTGAGGATAATGGAGAAGAACCCATAAAGGGGCTCTGGAGGATTCAGGATTTTACTTCAACAGCAGTGAAACCCAGACAGATTTTCTGGGTTCTAAGAGGAAAAAGTAAAACTTGTAAGAAAGAGAAAGGAAGGAAAAGGAACAGATTCAGCTCAGCTATTGGATTTGGGTTTTGTGAATCTTTAGAAAGACGGTGGTTTATTAATTAGAGTACTACATTTTTGTAGTTTTAAAATTAGGGATAAACTACACATATAGTACTTAAAGTATTACTCTTGTTCTGTTTTAATACATAAACTTTAATATTTTTTAATTATACTTAATATTTAATTTAGGTTTTATTTTAATATATCGTCGTTAAAAAATTAACATGATGTTAACGTGTCACCATAAGATAATGTCACGTCATCACTAAAAATAAATAGTATCACATCAACAATTCTATTAAAATTTTAATACTAAGATACTAAAATGAAACTTAAACTAAACGTTAAGAGATTTTTTTTAAAAAAATAAAGCTTAAGTATCAAAATGGAACAAAAATAATAGGTCAGATAGTAATTTACCCTAAACTTAGTGAGAGTATTACTCTTCTAAACTTTAAACCTTTGAAATGAAAAATGAAAGGATTAAGGGTCATTTTTGTCCTTGTAATAGATTCAATTTATTATTTTCGCTCCTATAGTATTTTTACATCAATATAGCGTTCAAAATTGCTCAATTACATCACTCTATGCCTTACCCCTCACTTAAAATCCTAAATTAAGGGTTTAAGTTAGAGATTAAGGTTGGTTTAAGAGGTAATGGGGTTATGGTTTAGGGTTATCAATTTAGGGTTCTAAGTTAGAGGTATGATATAGAATGATGCAATTTAACAAGTTTGAGGGTTAAATTGATGTGAAAATATGATAAAACGAAAATGATAAATTGAATCTACTACAAGGGGCAAAAGTAACCCTTAATCCAAAATGAAAATTATGGTATAAATCATCATGTTGAAGGACTCAACAAATTAATATCCTATAATTAAGGGACCATTTATGTACTTTACCCTAACCTAAAATAGGTATGAGCATGATTTTTATGAACACAACATGGAAAATTAACTAAAGCAACATCAATGCTTAATAATTATTCTTAATTAATTCATACTATAAAAGAGACCACAACTCATTAAAAAGCTTAACCAGTAGTTAATTAATACGAAAACAAGTTTGATCTGACTAAAAAAAGTTAACGATCGTTTGAGTTGGATGTCAACATGATGATTAGGATATGATAGTCGTTTAAGGTTATGAGATTAGATTTTATCATATTTCAATTAGCAAGTTAATGTCTATCTCAATCTATCGTTAATTCTTTAATGAAAAATGACGAGTTTAAAACATAATGATAGTCGATGAATTATTTTATAATTTTTAATAATCGAATGACTTAACAAAGTAATATTATGTAGTCAGATACTATTTTTATACTTTATCCTTTAGGTTAACAGTCAAAAACTTCAAACTACCACATTTATTTTATTTTATTTTTGGAAATTAAATAGTATAGGGTATGGAAGATGACCAAAATTATTCAAAAACGTTTACCTATATATAGACCTATAATCTGGGGTTTTCCCCCTCACAATACATTTTGCTAACGAATAGAGAGCTATAAAAAATATTGCTTCCATATATAGGAATGGGCATAAGGGATGGATTGGAGCAATTCCTATGTGAAAATTTAAAATTATTATATATTTTATATATTTTTATTAAAAATTTATTTTTCATCATTTAAAAATTTTATAAATTCGTATATTTTTAAAATTTAAAAATTTTACTCTAATATAAAATCTTACGTTAGTCCATGTGCGCATTGAAAACGTCTGTCGAGTCCATGTGCGCATTGAAAACGTCTGTCGAGGTATTCGCTGGTCCTCTAGGGAGAGGTCATGTGTTGTGAAAGGTGAAAGATCTTGGGGGTGTGGGGTTTAGGGAATTTAAAGCTTTTAATTGTGCATTATTGTGTAAATACGTTTGGGACAAAATTCGGGAGTTTAAAATAAAATCAATTAATATAAGGTTAAATAAATAATTACAATTAGTTTTAACTGAAAGATTTACTAAATGTGTAACTAAATTGAATCATATTTTAGGTTGAAACTTAAAAATACTACATTCTTTATAATAAATTATGTAAATTTCATAACTATTCTAGTTATAACTTAAAAAGTTAACTCAAAAAACTCATGTAATATTATCGGTTATAATCGAAATTATTATCAATTATATAATATTTTAGAATAAACAAACTAATATTTTAAATTAAAATCCGCGACAATATAATATTTTTTATTGTAACCAACATTATTATTAATTATGTAGTTTTTTAGAATAAATATATAATATTTTAAGTTAAAATCCTTCATAAATTAATAAAATTAATAGGGCGTTAGAAAATCTTTTGCCCCGGGGTTCATATTGGCATATTGGAGATGGTTCCAATGTTAGAATTTGGGAAGATGTGTGGGTTCATGGAGCCACTATTACTTTACAACCTTAGTTGGATATGTATGTTAGGACCCAAGATGAATATAGATAGGTTAGTATAAACCGATAACACATTGAACTGGACCTAAGAGGAATTAATCTTATATTTAGTTATGGATAAAAATATACTTATTTTTTTAAGATAGTATATATTTATAATTTTTTTGATTACTGACAACGCACGCATACCTTGTTTAGGTAACTACTCGAATCCAGAACTTAAAAGGAGAACAACACTTCATTTAACCACTAAAATTACTCGATGAGTTTTAAAATATACTTACTTTTATTCTAATAAATGTAGAACTATATATGTGTGACATGCATATTTTAATATATCAAGAAACTACATATCCTAAGATAATAAGTTGATATTTAAGGTATGTAACTCATAAATTATATCACTCCCATCATGTTTGGTAGTTTATAATAGTTGACAACATCTATCCAATTGTAACAATCCAACAACATGCATGTAGGTAAATAACTCAATACAAGTTTCCACCTGACAAAAGAAATAATATATTAATTAGAGATTAAATAAAAATATTTAAAGATTATTTTACAATATGTAGTTGATTTAATTTTTTAATATAAAATTATCAACCTATGAATATAAAGCTTATACATGTTATAATTTAAATTTTAAATTTATTTAATATAGTGTTTTAAAATCTAATAGATTTAAATTCCAAATTGCAAGAACAAACTTATCTCAGTGGTTAAAAGAATCGTTGTTGTTTTGAGAGGTTACGGGTTTGAGCACCAGTGACTGTAAGAGTGATTGAACATTCATTGTCAAATGGTTGAGAGTACCTAGAACAGATACTACTTTGTAATATTTTTTCTAATAAAAAAATCCAAATTAAACGTTACCTTTATTTTATGAAGAAATTTTTAGAGAGGATGCCTTAGTTATTTTATTAGAGAGGGTACCTTATGGAACGGATGGAGATAAATTTGGTAACCTCCATGAAATGAGCTTGGAAGGTGTTTTGATATTATGAAATGAGGATGTAAAAAAAGTCAAATTTATTACAAAAACGAGGGAGAATAACTCATTAAGTGACCTCAGTAAAATGAAAAGTTTTTTTTAAAAGATTTTAAATTCAAATAGATGTATCTGCAAGATGTGTAGGTATTGTTTGTAGATTAAAAAAATTATAAACAAATATTATTTTGTAATCTTTTCAAACTATTAAAAAAAAGAGAGAGAAAAGAAAAGGGTTATTGTTATTGCAAGCAAAGCTAAACCCATTTCTTAATTTAATTATTATTTCATATTTTATTCCCATAGATTATATATATTAAATTTTGAGTGAACTGAAAATATTTAATTATTAAAATAACATTGATAAATTCATCAATTGAATCATTAAAACAACTGTCTAAAAAACTTATGAAGATGTGTGAACACACTATTTCGTCCCATCCTCATATCACACATTTATAATATATGATATATATATATATATATATATATATATTTAGTTATTTATTTGTTATTTCATTACATTTTTTTCTTCTCTACAGATCCAAATAACAAGTGGCCCAGTAGGTAGCCCAAGTCCCGAACTGACCCACTGGATAACCCACGTCAGTTAGGGTTGTTAAAACCCTAAACCTGCTCCCCTCTGCGCCGTAAGAAACCCCCAAAGTCCCCTGGTTCATCACGCATTCCTCAGTCACACTTCACGGATCCAACATCCCCGTCCTTCTCGGCAGCAAGCATCGTGAGTGTATGAGACTCCAACCCCGAACCGTTCAGCGTGCGTAGAGAGTCACCAACCAACACATCAACAATATTAGTGTTTTATTCGATTGTAAACACATAAAAATAGGATTTTTATTCCTATAAATGGATGTAATCAGAACCCATTGTAACAACAGATTTTTTTGGGGATATGAAATACAAGCAAAGATTTTGAGCAAATCATAGCCAAAACAACAGAATGTTCAAGGCATTTTTTAGCAATATTTCGAGAGGAAATACGGTAAAAAGACTCACATTTTTTTTGGCTTGCATGTAGTTGATGTTCGCTCCTCTTCATCTTTGATTAAAAACACCAAAACTATAATTTTCAGTCGATGAACTGGGGCGTTTTCAAGATCTATTTCCGTAGATCTAGCCCCGAGGCTTGTTTTTTTAAAAAAAATGTTTGAATTTCTGAAATGAGGGTACGAAGAGCTTTTGTAAAACAAAAAAAATTATTTTTATCGTCGATTAATGGCGACCGACGCCGATCAGCGACGACGGCGAGGTGGCGCGGCGACCGTGTTCTGGGATTCACGGCGCATGTTCATCAAGTCACGTGAACATTACAAAGAAAAAGGAGAGATAAGGGAGGGGGTGTTTCAGCGAGAGGAGAGTAAAATGAAATATAAAATAAATTTTTAACTTATATTCGCGACCCGCCAACCCGTGATAGACTCGCGTGCCGACTCGCTCCATGCACAGGATCCGCGCGTTTTCGTTTATTAGTAGGGAAATCCCACTTTTAGTCCTCTTCAGTTACAAAAGGTCCTATTTCAACCCTAAATTCATTTCAATTCGGCCCGTAATCTTTATTTTCTTTTAATTTGGGAACCTAACTTTGTTT